TTTTTTTTTTTTTTTTGGTCTTTATGTTTATTTATTTATTTTTGAATTAACACCCAAGTTAGTTCGCATCTAGCGCAATAACGATTTCAGAAGCGGGTTCCGGTGATTCATCCCCTACGTATGACACCCAGTGCTCATCCCAGCAAGCGTCTTCCTCAATGCCCCTTGCCCATGTAGCCATCCCCCCCCGTAGCCCCTCCAGCAACCCTCAGTTTGTCCTCCATGTTTTGTTCCCCTCCCTGTTTTTATATCATTTTTGCTTCCCTTCCCTTATGTCTCTTAAAGTCCTCACAGGAGTGAAGTCATATGATATTTGTCTTTCTCTGATGGACTAATTTCGTTTAGCATAAGACCCTCCAGGTCCATCCACGTAGTTGCAAACGGCAAGATTTCATTCTTTTTGATTGCCGAGTAATACTCCATTGTGTGTGTGTGTGTGTGTGTGTGTGTATACACACCCCACATCTTCTTTATCCATTCATCCATCGATGGGCATTCGGGCTCTTTCCAGACTCTGGCTCTTGTCGATCGTGCTGCTCTAAACATGGGGGTGCACGTGCCCCTTCGAATCAGCACCCCTGTGTCCCTCGGATAAATACCTAGTAGTGCAATCGCTGGGTCATAGGGTAGTTGTCTTTTTAATTTTTGAGGAACCTCCATACCGTTTTCCAGAGTGGCTGCACCAGCTCGCATTCCCAAGAGGCCTTCACCCAATTTACCTCTCTTTCTTCTTTCCTAGATCTCCGCAGGGAAGTATAGAAGTACCCACATTTAGGGCTCTATGAAGGGCCAAAGGAGGGGGCTCCTGAGGGCCAAAGGAAGGTTCCCATGGGTGGTGGCACTCAAGCCAGAGTACCCTCATCATTGCCATTTTGCAGATGAGAAAATGGATCATACGTGGCTTGGCTGACGCTCCAGATCCCATTTGCTTGACCCCACTCTGCCCGATGGGGGACAAGGCCAGGATTCAAACTATGAGGAGCCTGGATTCAGAGCCCACCTTCTTCTCCTACCTCCCCTACATCCTCAGCCTGAAGAATTCTCTCTTACTCGGCGAGGACTGCCTTTTCATTCCATGCAGGCCTTCAACTGATTGGATGAGGCCCACCCATATTAGGGAAGGCAATCTGTTTTACTCAGGCCACTGATTTAAATGTACTCTCATTCAAGGCTGTCTGGATTGCTCAGTTGGCTGAACCTCCAACTCTTGATTTCAGCTCAGGTCATGATCCCAGGGTCGTGGGATCAAGCCCTGTGTTGGGCTCCACATGGAGTGTGGAGCCTGCTTAAGAGTCTCTCTCTCTGCTCCTCAGAAAGTTCAACATAGACTTTCCATAGCCCCAGAAATCCACTCTGAGGTGTATAGCCAAAAGAAGTGAAAACATGGAGAATGGGCACGGGGTGTTCTTCTGGAACAAGGGGAAAGTTCTGAGGCTAGAGAGGGGTGTGGTGGCGCGAGATGGCCACTGAACCGTTCCCTGGAAAATGGTTCTTTGTATGTGATGTGAATTTCCCCTCGATCATCATCATCTAGGCCCCCATTCGGTGGCCAGGTCTCCTGAGAGCTGGAGCCACGCGTACTTGACTCACCATTGTAACCCCAGCACCAACACGGTTCCTGGCACAATCGAGGGGCTTAATATACCTTTGGGGAGTAAATACACACAGAGACCCGCATTCCACAGGCACAAAATCAGGACCGACTAAGTGGGATTCATGAAACGGCAGCTCTCACCTAAACGTAACAAAGCCTATCTGCTCTTTGAGCTGCTGGGCCCTGCAGGGCAGTGAGCATCCCGTCATGAGAGGCATGCAAATAGAGACGAGGGAACTTGTTGAAAGAACTCGTGCATCAGCAGGAAGACAGGGGGTTCCCTCCAACTCTGAGATTCATTGATCTTACGGGCCCTTACAAATGCATTGAACCTCCCGCTGGCTGCTTGCTACCTTATCGAATCACTCACTCACCAGATATCCACTGAGCACCTTGGTCACCCAAGGACGGACCCCAAGAGGGTGCCATGTCCTAAAATAGGCAGAGAAGTTTCTACATCATCCTTTTTACTTTCTCCCCCTTGACCCGACCCAGTGTTCAGAACGCCACCTGGGCAAAGCCGTGGGCTGGGGTCGCCACGCTCAAAGGAGATTGGTTCGCACTCAATGTCCCTCCCGCGAGTTTCTGCCGTCCCT